AATTGCACTCGAGGATGAAGATTGATCCGGGTCTGACATCCCGCCGGTTTCATCAAATTGGTCACCCATCAACCGACTGGCTAGTGGCTGTCTGCCAATTCGACGAACGATTAGGAATTAATGCAAGTAAATAGATGCCAACGCTGCAGCCAGCGTCGCGAAAACCTGAATAATTCATGAAATATTTAACCGAACGCAAATCTGCCACTTCTCGTCGTCGTTTCGTTTCCTTTCTCCGGTTTCCCGCGAAACGAGCAAGCAAAACGAAACGTTTCGCGATCGTTTTAACGCTGAAAGAAAAAAAAAGATACGTCGATTGATTGGAAAAAATAAACCCTTTAGCGTGGATTGCCGGACTATCAAAAAAGGAAAGCTACACGACAGACAGGTCCGACGAAATTTCAACGGGATCGCAGTTTGCAAATGTTTTGTCGAAATAACCGTCGGCACACACGCCCGGAGAGAATTCACTTTTGCAGATCGAGTGAACTCAAGCTTTGGACAAAAATTGCATACAGAGGATTCGACCGGATTGAGTGGATTAAGAAACGATATACGCGAATTGCGTTATTTTAGTTCGTTGTTTCCCGGAGATTTTTCCGATGCACCGAGCAATGCGCGATCAAACAATAATTCGAAAATAGAGAAATAATAAATCGTGAAGCGGAAAGCTTTTCTGCGAAACTTTCGTAACAATTTCGTTCGGACTCTTTCGACTAAGCACTTCAACGCTCGTTCCTACCGGTGTTAATTGAAAATGGATGAACACGAAATTTTACAAGCATCTTCAAAAAGAATCTAAACAACTTAATAGATTTAAGTGCGCGCAAGCACATCGTTTCGTGCAACGCGATGCTTCGTATTGCACTCACGGTGATAGCGTGCATATGTGTTCGGTGAACACGACCCTGCATGAATACTACAAATTCAGACCATTGTTCCGGTCGTGCTTCTTGACAGTGATTCACTGGAGAACTGACGTTTCGAAACACACGTTCAAATATTCTTGTTCGTACGTCTCATCCGCTGGGAACTCGTGGGAAATATCCGGGTGTCGCTGTGCATCGTTTACATTTGTCACTAGCAAACATTCATTCGGCATTTTATGGAAAATGACGTACGAGATGTTTAAGAATTTAAATTACGGTAGACGGATGCATGGCGTAGGTCTCAGGAATAATATAAAATTTTCTACTTTAAGAACGCAAGCCACAAACTGTTTCTATCGATTAATCTCTTTAGATTTCGCCAAAGAAACAACGTAATATTTTTCTCGGCGAAGAAACGTGTCTTCGCGAAGATTGAATTCCAGTATTTCTTCGATAAGTTTCTCGGATAACGACGTGCTCGACGCAGTGTAGATAAACTCGACGTGATTTCGAGAGCAAATGCGCACGCTTCGTTTTTTTTCGCGTGTTATTATTACAATACGGCGCAGAGGTAAAGAAGAGGGTTCCCTCTGTGCGATGCATTCTTGAGAGGCAATTGAAAACCTTTCACAGGCTGCAAACAAGCTTCGAAACGCTGTCTGGAGGTAACTCGATCAAGACCTCCTACGTGAACAGTACGAGCCAGTTTCCATCGAATCTGTAGCACCGTCAAATGCCGACAACTTCGCGAACAAGGATCGATCTTCCGGCAACATTTATTTGCACCCCTTTGCTACGTCTACTTAGTATGTAATAAATTGTGCTCCGATAATGGCCGGGGAACGTTCGAGATTAGGTATCGGGTTTTGGTAATAACGCCGATATTAACTAAACTTGAAACAGTCTCGAGCAACGATTACTACCGATCGCTTTATGGGAGCAGCAAATTAATGGGAAGATGTTTCTCAAACTGGAGGATGAGCACTCTTAGATATAGAGGCTCTTCGTAATTGAAAAGGGCACTCAAGGAAAATGTTTAACTCGGAAAAATGTAATTATGTCATTCGCTAGATAAAAGTAAAACGTACAAGAGAATCTAAAATGAGAAATGATAAGATTCACCCTTTGAGTGGAAGAAATTATGGAAATTATTTCGTAACGTGTCTCGAGTGCTACAGGTGTGAGTTTAAGGCGCAGAAATAATAAGATAACATCCTAAGCATAAGTCTGATACGACCTTGTTTCCGAGTTACAGCCTGTACAATGTACTGGGGATCCTTCCTCAAATATAGACAGCATAATCGGATATTAGTCTGCTGTTTATCTATAAGATCTGAGGGCCCTGAGATCTGTAAACCTCATCACGTGTTATTTGTATTGTAAACAGCTCCTATCTTGCGCTAAGTGAAGATAGGATATTTGTCATGTAAAACGATGTTATTAACACGGTAATCTACGTTCAAAGAGAAAATACACAATCAGTCAGAGAAGTCCCAGATGTCGCAAAGTCAGATATTAAAAATGTCAAAGATGATTACAACGCGACAGAAAAAGGTGGGATCAAGAAATTCTTAACACGGATTACTGGACACAAGTAATTGTAACAAATTGGGACAACGCGCGTCAAATATAGCACGGTGGATTTTAATGAAAAATAAAAAATAAGACTGGATGCGATGCAAGATATTCTTGGTCTCATTATTTTCTTAGTGGCGGTCGTGATGGCGACATATCTGTAACTCTGAATGCACAGCGGCCAGTGTTTTCGTTGTCGAATATGCAAATTTGGCACGTACTGTACTAGACTGGCTGTTTTCGACTGGCGGAAACATAGAAGGTGTAAAAGCAAGTGGTATCCAATTAGCGGTCGGCTCTCCTGGCCAGCCCTAATTCACCGAATCCCATTCTGCCTTCCCTCGCGCGTTCGTTCTACCACTAGCTCGTATGCGAACGCGGCACGATCGAACACACGCACGCACTTGGTGGTAGAAATATAACGACTCTCGTAAACGCAGCGGGCAGTCGAGACGATGCAGCTATAAATTATCGTGTCAGAGCCGCGTCTAGAAAACTTTTTCCCGATGGGAAAAATTTTATGCAGGCACCGGTAATGAAATTCCACTTGAAAATAAATAAAAAAAAAACATCCTACAACGTAAGAAGCGGAATCGGATCCTCGGAATCCAGGAAACCCAAATACGTCCATTTCTGTTTTAATTCACGTCTCTTTCGACGGTCTAACATGGTCGACGGGATCCGTGCACCGCGTGTACGCGTCGTTCATGGAAATTTCGTTCACGGGCGTTTGCATGGAAAAACAATCCTGCCAATCGAGTCTGTTTGCTCCATCGCAATCAATTTGCAGCAGTAGTGTTACCGGTGAGTGCTCGTCGAGAGCAAACAGAGTATCCGGGACCGTACTTTTTCGGGGAAGCTATTTCCTGATGCTCTGCCTGTCGAGACGGGCTGATTGTAACGTCACGTTCCTTCCGGGATCGATGCTATTATACAGGATGTCTTTTTGACATTGGATTATATATTAGATTATATCTCCTTTTCTATCGACGACGAAAAAAATATCAGAAAAATTTCTCTGAGAAAATGCCTCGATGCAAACCTGTTTCACAACTTCTAATAATCAGACCACAAGTGGCTATTACCTAGTTTTATTGCAGTAAAGATCACACTGGATTCGTACCACGATAATATTGACCAAAACCGTTTAAAACTAATAAACCGCTGTGAAACTCGCGTGTAAAGGCAAAAAATCACGCTGGCAAAAGTCCGTTTCGCATGTATACATCGTGGACATTTTGGCAAACGATGGGGATCGATATTTTCTCCCGTCAACGCTTCTATTTCTCAACACCGTGTTCCACCGCCCTCCTAATCCCTGCTATACGATTCTCCAAAATTTCGTGGAGCGACGTAGGTCACATTTCGAGGATGGTTGCGGCGTCGAACGTGGAATCGTTGTCTGCGAGCAATAACGCCGACCCCCGTTCTTTTTTTCCCGCGGAATTTATTTTCCTCGAGGGGTGTTTCGGAACGACGACTACGTGACAGCGAAACCTGCAACTTATGCGCGCCATTCCGCCACCCCCGAAACGCTATGCGAAAACACGTGGCAACAACCGCTTGATGCTAAGAACGAGCACAACTACGAATGTATTTTATTAACATACATTATAAAAATTTGACAAGTATACTTCGATGCTCGAACTGCAATGGCAAACCCGCGGAAAAGAAATTTTTTATTAAACCCCAGACGAGACATAAATCGTATCGAACACGTTCCTCTCGCGCAGTATGACGACCATTTCTACTTCAATAAGCCCTCTCTGGAGAGAATACGCTTACCTGTTTTCTTTTTTATCAATTTTGCAAACGACCTCGCCCTATCCATGAATTTTTACGACCGATAGACGATCGTAAAAGTTGCTCCTGACCCCGTCGCGCACCGTAGGTGGGACATAAGCAATTCATGATCGATATCGAGGCCAGCATTTGGAAGAAGACTGGGTAAACTGGCGGCGGGCAAGAGCGCGAGATACTTCGCCGGAAATTACGCCCTCTCCGCGGAGACAGCGCTTTCCACGTGCAGAAACCGTTCCGAGCGTAAGAAGACGCCGCAAACGTACGCAGTTTCGCAAACTCCCGGCGTCCTACGAACGATTTATCGACGTTACTCGCAGAGTCGATAAGTCATCGTTTCCCGTGCACGATGCGCAAGCACATAAATTTTTTAGCGCGACACGCCGCGAACGTCGCAAGATCGAAAATACTACGTGTTCCTCGGGTAATGTACCGAACGTTTTCGACTTACGAGAATACGTAGTTGGCCAAATCGATTGACAGCGACATAGCTGATCGTATTCTACGTTAAAAACAAATGGAAAATGTGGAGTAAAATTTTTCCATTAGAGGCTTCGTCTTCGAGAAAACCGAGTTTGAATGTTGGGTATACGTACTACAGTGTCTGGCCATTACACGATATTTCTACTTGGTAAAATTGCGGAGGAAGACGGAGCGCTGTCTGATCAATGCTCGAGTTACTCTACTGAAATTCGGAATTCAGGCACAGAGTCTTTAATAACAGGTTTAATAACACGTAATTCGTTCTGTTTGCAGCTGGTGGGCGGCGAATTTGACATGGAACTGAACTTCGTGATTCAGGACGCACAGAACATCAGGCACATGTTGGAACTCCTCGATCATTGCCCGCCCAATCTCCAGGTAAGCAGTGGGCGTAACGTTCGGCCCGATCAAACTAATTATCCAAGCGGCTCGGCTGTTATACACCCGCCGCAAATTTGATTCTCCGAAGGAACACACGTTCAATACGATCAATACGCGTCAAACGAAGTCTCCCGCGTAATTAATTTCTCGTACGCGCGACCGACGGGATTTTTCTCTTAAAATTCCACGACCGTGGCCCGGACAGCGCCGGTCGGGTCCCTTTTCTCGGAACTCGCCGCGGAAAAAAGGGCCGAGCTCAAAGCCCTGGACGCGCGCAAAGGGGATTGAAATCCATTACGCGGTAAATTTCGTTCCGAGACAAAAAAAAAAAATGCCGCGCGGAACACAAATTTTTTTCTCTCCCCGTCTGCAAGCCCCGTGAATTTATCAAGCGTTGTCAACACCGGTGGCCGTGATTCGTATCGAACCGGATGCGAATCGACTCTGGCGTTTTTTCCGATCGTGAAATATGCTGCTCGCGACGATCGAAGGACGTCGACTGATTCGCGGCGATCGAGATCCGTGACTGGGCGATTCTGTTTCCCGGGATACGGTAATCTCGATACAACATTTTTACGAGAATTTCGATTCTGCACTACGAAATGTTCTGGACGCAACTTTTTTGGGGGAGAAGAGGAGGGGGTTGTACGAAATGTGGTTCTAATAATTGAAGTCACTCGAGGATACAATTTTGTTATGCTGAAAGATATTTTTTAGTTAAGAAGAAATTAAATTTGATGTTATTCTGCAGGATATGATGGTCTGTTGTATTGTCCAATCAAAAATCAAAGATCAATTCAGAATATTTATATAGCTTTTACGCCACACATGTTCGTCCAATATCGATGCCATCGTTGATAGGCTTTAATGGCTCTAGTAATCATATCCTGTGCAATAACATCAACTTCAGGCTGGATCCAAGCTAGTAATTCATCAAATTGCAGGAGAATGAAAATACAAATTATTATTGTGATTGTTTCTCATCTAAAAAATTGTGTCCTCGGTAACTTTAACGATGCGTACCTGGTTTTGTTATTCTGTCTGTTTCCTCCTGCTTCTTTCGAACTTACACTATAGTCACGATGCTCGTTTGTAAGCTACTTGAATGTATCGAGGCTAACGTGAAAAAGCGATACCTTTATGCCGTTCTGTAGTCGTTACATTTCGTCTCGTTGAAGAAACCATCAAAAGAGCGAAGTAAAGATATAAGGATAGAAAAGTTTCGCAAATAATGGAGGGTCCTTAATCGCCGCATCAGATACAGGAAAAACCATTTACTCTTGCGTCGCAGTTGGTAAACTTGTAGTAGTTCGAGCCCCATGGAGAAAGTTTTTGGTGCAAAAGTAAATAGAAATTTAAGCTGCGTACACGGTACAAGTTGTAAGAACCCTGTCCTTCCATTCACTTGCACTGGGATCGCGTCCTCGCGTTAACGAAAGAAAACATTGTTCAGCAACCGTGAAGTTTGAAATGGAAATTTACTTATCAACGATTCATTAGTACCCACCTTTATTAAATGATGTAAATCAGCTGTAAGAAAACTCTGTTAGTAAATTATAGGAAGGGTAGACAAACGATGAATGTAAACATCAATGATCTATAGAACTGGTTTAAATTAATCTACGTGCACTTTCGATCAGAAGTTGAAAGCTTGCGATGCTTAAAATAAATGAACTCTCGTCTCTAACGCGTTAATTGACTATTACTTAGAAATTGTTTGAGGTGGAAATTATAATTATATTTTGATTTAGTTCAAATACGCTGTATAGGCTGTTTCAGTAAAATTTGAAAGTTTCTTTGTACTTATGATATTTCGATAATAAGCATGCTAGAGGAAGTCGAATCATTTCTCGACCGAGGAAATAATGATCTAGTGATACGAACCCGCAGCGTGAATTCCCTGTGTCATCTCGATAGCATTGGTTGTGGTTGATATAATCTGTTGGGGATCGATTTCTGGCGTCCTCAGAATCCCGTTCAAGCACGTCCCTGAAATGTTAATACTGTTAAGGGAGTTTCCACGTTGCCATCCCTGACTGTACATGGCGATTCCCTGTATATGGGTGTCTCTTATATACAGCGAATGTCCGCAGAAATGCGTACATACGTATGCATGTACACATAGGAGGCTATCCGTGTCATTGAAACCTAACCCAGACAGGACGGAATATATATCCCTGACGTGTTGTCGCGATGAACGTTTCACGTATTCTTACGCTTTCGAAATTCTTTAAAACGGCCAGAACGCGTTGACGTTTCAAATTAATCGGCACCGAAACGCAGCAGTTAAATTATCAGTATCGATCGAAACTCGATTTATTACATCGAACTTAAGTCATCAAGTAAATGGCACTCGATGGTAGATGTTACGCGACTAAATTACACGAAGGAGGAAGCAATAACTCTCGAATGATACCCATTCCGAGTCTTTTTGCGTTAAAGACTTTGCGCCAATTTATGATCGACGTTGCCTCAGAAGCAACGATTGAAGATACCGGACGAGATCGAGAAATATACAATTAAATCTCGAGTATATTGCTTCGTTATTTACCGACAACCTCCTTACAACGTGGAAAGGCCTTCAAAGGGGCAATTAAAATGGATGAGACATCGCTCAGCGACGAAAGGGATGAAGCAACGGATGAGAAAATATCGTTGCTCGGTACAAAGCCGTAAAACCGGACGTATAACGGAAACAGCTATCGCCAGGAGAGTATAATATTGAATCTTTTCATTAAGGAAATTCGCCTTTGCTGTCGATCCAATACTCTTCGAATCGAGAACGCTCTGTCCATTATCGTATGGCCGTCTGCTCAAAGGGAATCGCTCAAACCGCAGGCAACCGTTACAAACCCACTCCCTTCGCGCTTTAACATGCATTGCTTTTCTTTGTACGGCATTATCAGATAACGAACGCGCCTCAAAATTCCGTTACGTTATCCGCTTTTGTTCACTGGCCAGCGAAACACCGAGATGCATTTTATTACTGAGTTTGTGGAAGCTGTTATCTCCAAATCCGATTAATTACATACGTAGAAATTGGGATAAAATCGTATCCGTTTTGTAGAGAGTAAATGGACAATTGCTGGTAAGTCGAGAAATATTTATTTAAAAAAAAAACGGCTCAGGCGGGTTTTCACGAAACGTTTCATTTATTTATACGTACGATACCAGAACCGTATATATGCAACGCCCTGTACAATCTCACTGTACATCTCTATTTTAACTGTGTTTAATGATAGATATAGAGTGGAACAGGGATCACGGTTAACCGTATTTAGGCGAAACTACTTCAGATACATGCAGTTACCCCTGTCCTATCGATGAAATGTAAATTTGGATAACTGCTTGCAAACGTCATTCACGCCAGTGCAACCTGCGCGCCGCCCGGTTGTCTCATGCATATGCCTCTTGCATCAACGATGACACTACACCGAAACCACGCTGTCGCTATATAGTACATTCGTTAAAAAAAAAAAAAATATGAACGTGTCGTGTGCGCTCGATGTCAGTTGAAACGATAGAAATTTATTTCAAAAGTGTAAAATACCACTTTTAGGTCACCATCGTCATAACTGCCTCTAGAGGAACCATCCTGTAAAACTGATTCGTACCACCGTCGATACACGGCTCGGAACTAAAAATCTGCCCCGTTGGAAACAGATTGCAACGAGTTACGCGTCGGTTGAATCGATGTGGGCAAACTATTAAATTCAATAGAGAGAGGTTCGCGTTAGAAATTGGATTGGTTTCGCTGTATTTATGTGAACAATTTGACATCGATAGCCGTGCCCGGGCAGATTTAACAAGTTCGCGATGTCTCGCGAAGTCCATGAATAACTAGCCGCGTCGGTTCGCGAACTATCGGCATGATTTAAGCGTTATAACTTGGATATCGCGGGATTACCCTTGCAGCAGCTTTCATAAATTTCGCCGTGAGTTATGGGTGCATTCGTCGGGTACGGTCTCTCGCAGAAAACGTATAGACACTGTACCGTCGCTAAAATGCGTCACTCTTCCTCCGCAGAACGGCGGAGAGCGGAGGAACAAAAAAAAAAAATGGATTCGTATACCATCGGACATCCATTTATCAGAATTCGGAAACTAGACTAACAAAACACAGACGCAGCCCGTAACGCGTTGCATAAATCCACAATGTTGGGTCGTTCGTTGAAATTGGACGGTTTCCAAATGCCTCGAACAAACAGCAAAATAAATATGGGCGACGTACGGAGTTGGGCGATAAAATTTCTCGGCGAATAATTACGTAATCGCGGAAACAACCGGGAAACAGAACGTTGCATACTTTTGTAATACTATTTTCACTCTTCCAGTCGATGCTCGCTACTGGAATATTACAAGTTTAAAAAGTAGAAGCTTTCAAAATAAGAGTAGACAGATATCATCTTGTATCATCGCACAAAGCAACGTCACGTCAGAAATTGATTGTATGTATGTAACATTCACGTAGTACGATGTAGGTAACATAATTCTAGAGAGAAATCATGAGCATCGGTGGCACGTTGCACGATTCAACCAATTAATCCAGCAAATTTTCGCGACAGAAAATCCTATCTATTCTTGGGTACGTTCAATCGGTCGTGCATGCAAATATATGTTGGAATGAAACGTCGAAGGTAAAATCGATTAGCGCGGAGAGCAATGTAATGTAATTAAGCAACAAAGGCTTCGGACCTTAGCTTTTGCGCGACGCATTAATTCTGCTCCGTGAATTATGCTCTGTCGACTGCAATATGCATTTCATTTGCCTCGGAGACAAATTAATAGAACGAGTTTAGTTACGCCAGGGAAGGTTCGATTGTTGGCAGTTCCGAATTAGAATTCGACGAAGGACGTTCAAAATATTCGGTTCGCTCGTTACAGAGTAAAATATACCGTTGCTGATCTTCTTATAAAATTGATGCGGATATTTTATTCCGTAACAGATAATGGCGACAACCGTCAGTTTCGTGATTTCGCTGTTGCGCTTCGAAGCA